TCTCTCTGTCTGTCTCTCTCTGACAGCCATTTTCAATCAAATCAAGTCCTCAATGCTCTTTGGCAGTACAGAACAACGTCTGAATGTCTGATTCAGATACAACAAGCAATATTTACTACAGCAAGATGACTGTTTGGGCCCGAGATGCATCTGCATAATGTTGACCAGAAACAATGTCCTACTTATTCTCTGCTTATGTCACATGTGCGTTCACAGATTATCATGGAATGTGCACGATTAGCCAAAACTGCATCGGTATTGATGTCAGCTTTATGAATGACTCTTTCTGCCGCTTTGTAGGGAAACAACCTTTTCTATGAGCTTTCGTATAACTTCCAACCACCTTCTGTTTCCAGAGATTCCTGGAGCCCCGCTGGTGAGCCCCCATTCAGACTCATGACACACTTGTGTGACATTGGCCACATGGCCAACTGTATGCACTCCCCCAGATTCTCTCCACTTCTCTATTCCCTCTCATTCACCTTGTTTTACCCCAGCCTCAGGCCAGCGCTGGCCCTGGAGCATAATGTGCTCAATAGGGCTGGTTTTGCATTTCAAAGCAGCCCGAACCCCCCTTCTCCACCCAAGTGGGCAGATCCACCCTTCTCTTTTACCTCTTGAGGGTCACATTGACAATCTCATCAGCAATGCAGGCATTGTTTTTCTTTTGACTACCTAAGGGTGTGGTAGTGAGGGTTTTGTGTACAGAGGAGTTATCTGCAGGCGTACTGTAACTTGCCCATGCTTGGATGGAATCAGAGTCCCACGCAGAGGGACCCGACTGCAAAAAGTCCTTTACGTGACTGTGACTATGTGTGAAATGACGCTGTGGAGATTTCACCACATCAGCGACAGAGACTGCAAGAATCAGCCAAAGATTGTACAGCAAAGAGAAGAGGCCATGTGCAGTGCTTGGGTGTAACTGGGCAGGCAGGCAGGGTGAGGCTCTAGCAAACATGAGCAGAGTGATATAGCGGAGGAGAGGTCTTGGAGATAAAGAGCTAATAGCTAAGGCCTTTTCCATTTCCTGTCACTGCAGTTGGCAGTAGCTTACTGCACAGTAACCTCATGGAAACTGGTTTTAGTATAATGTCCTGTATGACTGAGTGAAAGAAAGGGGGCAGCCTGTCTTTCCACCAGATGTAATGGTGTTTGCGTAATATGGTTGACTCACCAGAGAAATCCCTCATGCAAAAAAGGGAGCACCCAAACCCCCACCCAAACCCATACAGCTGCAGGGTGAAACCGTTGGTTCCCCCTCTTACAACATGTCAACCTTGCCTGTGGCTGTGACTCGCACATTGTACACCTACAAGCCTAAAGAATGCAGCCTGGTGTGCACATTTAGGTCATGGAAGTCATGTGAAGGCAGATCTTTTTATACAGTACTTATGCTGGGACTGAATGAATTGGACAAACAAGTAAAACCAGACAGATCTTGTCTCTGTTTAAACTACAGCTGTCACTGCTTGTAGACACTCCAACCCTTATCATCTGATTCCTCACTGACACCTGGTGTTTGACAGCTACTGTCAGGACTCTGAGCCCAAAAAAAAACACAGCTTTATATTCGAGAGAGGTCTTAATAAATGTAAATAGTCTCCATTTAGTTGAGAGTAGTTTACCACTACCCTGGCCTGTGTATTCCTGTGTCCTACTAGAGTTCCTGTATGACTGCCTGTGTGCTGTAGAGATTAAAAACTGCCCCGCCAACAGCACATACACTTGCTGTGCTGCTCCAGATGTCGCCAGTCAACAGGTGGACATGTCAGGGAACACACTGGGGGACAATGGCAGCCTTCATTATGCCCACACTCACACAAGCACACACCACTTTCCCCACCTCTAAAAACGTCAGTTGCCCTAATCGATTAGCTAAAGCACTACAATGACAAAAAGGGATTATTATTTCTGAAGAGACGTGGAGGAAAGGCGAGTTTGTGACACAGTGCATAGCTGAAAGGATAAGAGAGGACACTATTAGGTGATTGAGGTGAGGTAGTCTCTAACTAGAGGCTACAAATTACCCAGCAGCCTCTGACAACTAGCTGAAATCCTACGCCTCGTTAGCTCAGTCACCAGAGGGTTTTGTGTGGGCACCGTGCGTGACAAGATTGAATACGAGCTTTCTTATGCATTGTTAACATTTCTTGGTGTTAACAATTAACTGGCAGGAATTTTGCAGTTTAGGGTGTTGCCAGTTTGCTCACAAGTTGTCACTTTTCCAACCGTTGGTATTTCTCAGTCCTGAAGGGGAAACGGGATTCTTGTTACTTTCACTTTTGTTATGTTCTGCCTATGTAGGTCATTGAAAAAAGTAATGGTCACATGAAGATATTTAGTCTATATTGTGGTCCAAAGGTTAGGTGTGTGCTTTGACTTTGCTACAGGTCTTATGTGTCTTATGCTTACAGTCAAGTAATCATCTTGTTTGTGTGGAGAACCTGTGTTTTAAGCTGCAGAAGAAAGGTTACGTAGGGAGGCTTGAGAAGGGGCAGAAAGGTCACTGAGTGATTCCAGGGATTTTTCTTGCGTTACGCAGGCAGTGGCTTGAGAGTCAATCAACCCCCTTCCCTATCCGCCCACACACACACACACACAAGATCAGCCCCTCTTGAAGTGCTTGGGAAAGTGTGAGGGGGGTGCTTTGTTCCTGCACTTGAGGGCTGTAATGTGTTTTAGCACATTGATGTCACAGTTTTGTGGATAGGCTGGACTTGCCCTACACACTTCATTCTCATGATTCAACTTTTAACTTGCCATTATGTAAAGTCAATGGGATATCCAAATCAGGTAGGATGAATGATTGTTTAAAGCAGACCACAGTCTCTGAAAAAATTAAAATGGGGAAAATATTATTACTATATATATTCTCATGGTGACAGAATGATTAGGTCATAGTGAACACTGCAGCTATAACAAAGACCCTTTTTGCCCGTATATTTTCCCTAATGCTCACAAACTCTTTTCTCTCTAGGCTAAAAGGAAGTTGGATCTAGAAGACCCTCTTTACCTGCCAGACTTCCGCACACCCAAAGGCAAATGCAGCATCGCTGCCAGGATACCTAGTCCAAAGAGTGAGTACACCACTACAGATCTGAGGATACATGTTGTGAGAGTGGTGGTATAAGGTAGTGTGATTTTTGGGTAGATACTAGAGGTTCAGCAATACTGGTGTTGGTAACTCTGCTTCTAGTCAAGACAGAGGCAATGTGGTCAATTGTAGAGTTATATTACGTTCCGAATAATTATAAGGAGAGCAAGATAAAAAGACCAATAAATTACTCTTAAGTACAAAGATAAGTCTCAGGAAGTAGTTTAATTACACTTACATATTCCAAAGGGAGGCAGGTAGGGGAGGGGTTGGGTGTTAGGGTAAGTGGGCAGAGCAGTTCAGAAGATTGTATGGGGACCTGGAGGGTGTTGTTAAAGAGGGATAGCCTGGTGGATGGGGGGAGGGTGATGGAGGAGGACCAACACAGGAGCCTTAGGAACTGAAATTAGACAAATAATTAGTCCACGAACAGATAAAAAAAAGTACTTGTTTGAGATGTAATTTCTAAACAAATAGTCAACATGTGCGAGATGAGACAGCATCAGTTAATTTACCATGTACAATATTTTCAAAGACATGCTATGTGGAAATAGAGATTGAATATTGTTTACCTTTGATGAATAAGATGATAAACACAGAATGCAACATGAGTCATATTCAAGCAGAAATTAGGGTACTTGACACATTCATGTAATAGTCTGTTTTCATTATACACTATTAACAACAGCCGAATGACTAATTAAGTGCATAATTCAGTTCTCTGCAGATCCACTGAATGAATTACTCAAAGTAGTTCTGAAATTGTTTGCACCTTTCGTATGTTTATCTTGTTACACTTTTTAAATTCTGTGGGAGAGATATTGCGCAAACAACATGTTTATGTAAATTAATCTAATTTAGCTCAGTTTAAACGGTCTTTGTTCTGGACTCATTTTGATGATTGCTTGCCTTTTCGATTACATATCTGTGGAGCTTTGTCTGTTAACTGCTCTCCTCTCATGTGCCTTTGTCTATACTTTTGCTCTCAGCTCCGAAGTCTCCAGGTGAACGGACACGCTACGACACCTCCTTGGGCCTGCTGACCAAAAAATTTGTAGGACTGATCGCAGAGTCTCCTGATGGCGTTCTTGACCTGAACTGGGCCACTGAGGTCCTGGAGGTACAGAAGAGACGCATCTATGACATCACCAACGTCCTGGAGGGAGTCCAGCTCATCCGAAAGAAGTCCAAGAACAACATCCAGTGGCTGTGAGTACCAATACAGAAGAATTATTTTAATATGAAGAAAGGAAAGGTAAATATTATCTATATGTATGTTTAAAGGCTGTTGTGTTTGCATCACAGTATGTGAACGTGTCTGCTTACTCTGAGCTTATCTGCCCTCTAGTGACTGTTAAGGGCTATTGCAACATGTCTAAACAACCTTCTACCACCTCAGCTGAACTATGTAGTGTGCTTACTATCTATTACAGTGTGTCTTTGTGTTTGAAATTGCTGTGACAGCTGCAGACAATTTTGAATGTAGTCAGATCTTTGCACTTTTAGTGCTTTTCTTGTTTATTCATATATTTCCCGTCTCCTTGTAGGGTTGGAGATGTATTTGAGGGTGGTGCGGGTGGAGGAGAGAAGGCTTGCGCCCTGAGGAAAGAGCTTGGAGACTTGGAGAGAGTGGAGAGGTCTCTGGATGAACTGATCCACTCCAGCACTGGACAGCTCAAACAGCTCACTGAACATGAAGATAATCAGAGATATCCTTTACATGTGTATATTTATATACTACTTCTTTCTCTGGTGGTCGTCTGGGCCTGCTTACACATGCAAATATCTATTTAATTTCTGCTGCTGTTCTGACCCTTGACCCCGCAATCTACGTTGGGCTATGTGACGTATCAGGACATCCGCACCATCGGCAGTCTCAGAGACCAGACAGTCATTGCTGTCAAGGCCCCTGCTGACACAAAACTGGAGGTGCCAGACACAGCAGGGGTGAGAGAGCACTTCTTTGTTTGAATTTTTCAGTTTTGAGGCTTCTGCACACCCATGTAAATTTGAATCATGTTGTTCTTGCTGACAGATGGATGAAAGTCTTGTTTAATGTTTTGTAAGACAAATTAGTTTGGCAAGAATATTAAATACTAGTTAAGAATAGTTTCAGATAATTAACAATTGTACAAACAAAAGCTGTCAAAAAGACAAATAGAAAACATGTAAGACATAAGCTATATGTATATTAAATACAAATCTTCCTCTTCTCTTTACAGCAGGGTTCATTACAGATCTATTTAAAAAGTAAGAATGGTCCCATTGAAGTCTACTTGTGTCCAGAAGAGGGTCTTGAAGATGCTAGCCCAGTTAAAAGTGCTGTCACCCCTAAAAAGGAGTTCCCTCAACCCCTGGGCCCTCCAGCTACAACTCCAATGGAGCTGCCAAGCTACAGCGTCAAAGAGGAGCCTGCTGAATGTAAGCTGGGATCTCTGTAGGGTCATGTAGATTCTGACTTTATTTTCAAAATGGGAGCTAATTGGTTGATTGGTTGTGAGATTGGCATTTTGTTGACCTATACACTGGTCTCGGGGAGCTACTTTTCTATTTGAGGCTTTAGCTTTGTGATACTTCTTCAATATGGGAAATACACTTTATTTGTTAAATATAGAGCCGGAGCTGGGAGACAATTAGCTTAGCTTAGCATGAAGACTGGAAGTGGCCTACTGGCTCTGTCTAAAGTGAAATACACCTACTGGCACTTCTAAAGTAACATCTTGTTCTTTCAATATTTACACAAAAAGATGGGAAAAACTGATTTACACAGTTTATCGCAACACATCATAGCAGCTCCAGGCTATAAGCCACTACAAGCATAACACACCAGAGTCTGTGCAGTCAAGTGAATCGAGTCGAGTTGTGGGTAATGTAGGCGCCGGGTTTTGAACAGGGAAGAAGAATAAGTATAATAAAATGGACATTATCTCCGATTTTGATCCTTTTTTGAAAAAAAAACCTTTAAGATTGTGAATCCGACAATGTTATAGGAGTGCTATGTGATAATCGATGGAGTACTCCTGATGTTAAAGTGTTTGTTCGTGAACTTTAGAGGCATTATTTGTGAATAAGTCTTTATGCTAAGCTAACCTAGCCCCCTGGCTCTAGTGCCATACTTGACGCACAGACATGACATATGTATCAAACCGGTGTGTGATTAATTCGATTGATACACTTTAGTGCAGAAAAAGTAAAACAACCAAGGCTAATGTACAAACAAATGAAGAGAAATGACTAAATATATGAATGAAAAGGACTACAAATCACAGGGATGAAGTTAAAAATAAAACTTGTAGATCCTCGGGGGAAGCTGGTAGGAGTACAGCAGCTATACCTAACCTCACCAAAGGTTTTTGTTGAAACGCTGACACTCAAACACAACTTTCTCCCCTGCTCCTTCTCACAGCCAACATTTCTACAGCAGCTCCAGCCCCCTCCTCAGCTGCAGCCTCCAGTTCCTCGCTGCTGGATGTCGAGGGTCTGCTGGGTTTGCCTCCCAGCCTGCTCCAGATCACGGAGGACCAGCTTCCTTGCACCTCTTTCACCCCAGACCCCAACACTCCTTTTGTCAGTTTCTCTCCACCGTTGGACCACGACGATTACCTCTGGAGCCTTGAGGATGGCGAGGGAGTATCAGATTTCTTCGACACATATGATCTTGGAGATCTGCTGAAGAGCTGAGGTATAGATGAAGTGGGGGAGGGAGGTTGCGGGGTATTTAATTGAATGCCATCTCAAGGTAGGAAATATTACACTATGAAGCCATCAGTCTTTGTTTTTGCCATTCCTGTTTTAATATCAATGATGCTAAAGGAGGAGTTACCCCCTTTTGTTTATTTTAATAAAGTAAAAATAATTTGTACATATGATTGTAATAAATGATCGGAGTTGGTTGTTGGGTGATGCTGAGATTGACACTGATGGGTGTCAACCATTAGGAAACACTGTTTAAAAAGCAAGGATTTTCTTGGATTTTATGTCACAATTTCATATTCCGCTACACAGATAGAAATGTATACAAAAACAGAAGTTATTATGCATCACTTCACCAGCAACACAAACTGATGCATGTGGGTATCAGGCAGTGTTTACAGTGTGACAACTCAGGAATTTTTTTCTTCCTTGTCTCCAAAGTCTAAATATTAGTGCCACTCTTTGGCCCATAGGGGGTAGCCTTGTATTATGTCAGCTTTAACTGCCATGCAGCTTTACAGGATTCAATCACTGGATGAGAGCTAAAGCCATCAAGAAATATACACAGGGTGCGTTTTTAAGAGTCCTACAATCTTAAAGAGTGACCAAATGAAGCTGTGAAAAACTTGTTTAATAACAGCTCTCTCCTGCCTTAAGCTTTATGTCAGACCTTGTACCTGTGTGTCGTGTGCCAAAATGTGAAAAGGCAGCCTCTGACAGCCGATACTGGACCCAGACCCAGAGTTAATGACTGATAATACTGCTACTCTGTGAGCATATTCCATCTCTACTGAGCAAGAGCGTCACACTCACTCTTGTTGCTTTGGCAGCTTTTTTTCAAATCCAGATGCTCCTCTATTGATGTGAGTTTGCTGATTTTAATAGAGGATTATTTTTTGATTTAGTACTGCAAAACTACTATTGTATTTCTGAGGAAATATCCCAATATAAATTAAATGCAGCATCTGTGTTGCAGGGGGGTTAATTTATGTAATTAAGTTTAATTAGACTAGTAATTTTCTTTTTCCTCTTGTCCTGAAATGAATGAAATCTGTTGGCCTAGCAGCAACAACAACAGAAACAATAAAGAATGTATATCTTTACTGTTAAAATTTCAAGCCCATGAATGCTTTCCCACATGTTGGTGCAACCCTTTTAAATGTCAAAGACATTTTATTTTTTTCAAAGCATTCTAGACATTTGGAAATTTGAATTTCATGCTGATGAATTTTTGGCTTTCCCTCTACACTGCAGAGATAAGCTAACTGTCCTGTCCTAACAAAACTTGAAAAATGTGTGTTTGCGTGTGTATTTGACAACTTGGGAAATTGATGTCATGGTGTGTTTGCGTGTGTGTTTTTACAATGTAGATTAGAGAATGTGAATTCAGAATTTGTAGTTTTTTTTCAGTGAGCATTATTTTTCTGGTATTTGTACATAATTTGTTTTGTATTTATACCTATTTTTCTGAATTTTTTGAAAGTTGATACTGGCCTTTTTTACATGAGGCACAGTTGTTTTGTATGACATGCAGCACTTAATATTTTGTAATATTGTGTGGTCTGTTTGAAATTATTAAATAAATACTGAAGCCATGGTTTACACTTGGAATTGTGCTTGTCGTGAATCTGGAGTTCCTGTAGACATTTTTAAAAGACAATTTTGAACCGGTTCTTCCCATAAATATTTTGCAACAAAACTGCAATGGAAATACATCCTAGACTCACATGAATAAATCTTCCAAACCCTCCAAACTTCTGCAATACCTTTTTATATGACCGGACTTGCTGGAAAATGGAGTAACATAATGGCTTTAGTCTCCAAAATCTATAGGAGGAACCCACAGGGGGAAATCAAAATGTGGAGTAGTTTCTGTCCAAAACCACCAAGAGTATGGCCGCTGAGGATATTGATCTAATGAAAAGTGACATTCCCCCGAGGAGAGAGAATAGGTCGACATGACAAGTGACAATGACTGAATGAGCTATAAACACAACCAGACAGGTAGACAAAAACCACCCATCCTTCTTTGTGAGTTGGTTGCTTTGGAAACAAGCACACAAAACAGAGGTCCCAGGAGGTCAAAGTTCAGTGGGTCACTGTGGAATAGTGTTCTGGGGTGAAGACATTTGCAAGGAAATTATCACAAATGTAGTAATAAACACATATAAATAAATCTGTAGAAGATTCAACTTTTTGTAAAATATTACATGCAGCATCTAAGCTCATATGTCCTTTCCCAAAGGAAGAAGGGAAAGTACTTGGAGTACTTGCTGGCCAAGTTCTTCCTGAGGTCATTTTGCATTGCCTCCCTAAAGTATATGGCCTATAGAGGTTGTATATGACAACAGGAAACAAATTTATTATGGTCAGCGCAGTGGTTAAACACAGCTCAAGTGAGGAGCTAAAACAAGCAGTTGAGCTTGTACAAGTACATTTTACCGCTCACATATAAAGCCTGTCTCTTCATGGAGGTTGTCAACTATGCAAACCTGCGTCTGTTTGCTTCTGAACCAACATCAGGTGTCTATTAGCACTAAGTGTCTATTAACAGATGTTGCCGCAGCAGCTCGTGTGTTTAACAAGAGGTCATAAACTGAAATGTCAGACACCGCAAACACATACATAGCTTTTGACTGCGGTGGTTTACGTGCTATCTAAACTAAACAGCAGACCACCTCAGTTACATCACACCTCAAGACTAACTGCTCTACACCAACTAGGGATTGAATAAATATTATTGGCTGAACGCTTAAATTGCCAAAAAACTTAAGCCTGTATGCTGCTTCTGCATGCCATGACTGAAGTGACAGCTTGTCAATGAACAGCACCTACCTGTGGTTCGAACATTGCATACCTTTGTTTAGGGCCGCAACCACTAAAGGGACACATAATGGGAGTATTATTAAGAGTGGGTGCAATTTAGTGACTATGGTTTGTGTTTAAAGTCTCTCTGATTTAGAGCTACTGAACGCCTTGTACTGACTCTGGCACAAAGTGTGGCTATAGAGGTCTGAAAAGGTTGTGTTTGTGTGAAAGTAAATTAAATCATTAAATGGAGAAATAGAAGTGATTCAACAGGTAGGAGGATCAGTTCAAGGAATTGTGATTTAAGTGTTCTCAGAATCAAACAACACCGTGTTGCTGTGAATTTTACGTCATACTACATTTACAGTGAATTATAAATCACAAACCAGTTTGACATGTTACCAGTCTGGAAACTGTTCCATTTGCCATAGACACTTTGATGACAGGCATGCTGGAGAGGGTGTCTGTCTGAGGGTGGAGTTGATGGGCAGGTACAGAACATATCTTGCCAGCAAGGAAGCCGTTCCACAGAGAGACGTGCAGGAGAGCTGACGAGACTGAAACTGCTCAGTCAGTTGAGTCAGGGATGACATATCACTAAATGTCACAGCTCTTTTGACAGCTGTGGTGTTCCCCAGTGTTTATTCTTAGTGCAGTTGTGCAGGTTCTTGAGGTAGATTGTTTTCAGTAGGGGCTCTGCCCTGTTCAAGACTCTTTATATGCTTATTCCAATGGGAAACTGGTGACCTGTGTTAAAGAATAAATCAAAACCACTCTTTTTTTCTCTCTTTCTCTTACTCTCTCTAGTCCTTCCATTTTCAGTCATCCGTGTCGACCAGAAGAGGGGGTATTTTACGGTAAGCCTGGGCCTCCTGGCTTGACAGCGGTAGTAAATTGATAGCAGGACTAGTGGAGCTGAGTCAACAAGCAGAGGGAGAGGGAGGTTTTTTTGCAGGGGGAGGGTTGAGGACCTTGTGCTGCAACTCCACTGCTGCTGGGAAGCAGCGAGGAAATCCTGGCAGCTGTAATCTTTACTGGAAGATGTCGCTACGACCTCTGTGCTGCCGTGTGCGTGCGTCAGAGAGAAAGCTGCATATGGTCTGCCACACTTTCTTGGAGCCACAACTTCCCTGCTCAAAGACTATGATGATATTTTCTTTGTGAAATCACCATTAGCAGTGGCAGGAAAGTATTCATATGGGGAATGACAATGAATAGGTTTGTGGTGTTTAGGAAGGAAAAGGGTGGTGACAAGGAGGGAAAACATTAAATGAGTCACTCCAGTTTGTGTCCTCAGACAATGAAGTTTCTCTCTATCTCTTTCTCCTTTCCTCACCTCTGTCTTCCTCCCTGTCCTGTGCATCTCCCCCTCCCTGACTCCCCACTCCCTTCCAAAACTATTTTCCTCTGTAGATTCCCCATTTCTTCTCTCCCTCCCTCCTCCCTGTCCTTGGACTTGTGTTCTCCACCATACGTTAGTGCATCGCCTAAGCAGACCGGTTTGTTCAGTTTTACAATAGGACCCAGGCTGGAAGGCTGGCAAACACACAAAGACTCTGCTTCTTTACTAGGGGCCGCAAAAGAAACTGAAGGAGGTTATTGTTGGGACGCAGCAAGCCTCTGCATTACATCAGCCCAAACTTGCATGCAAAAAAGTGAATGCATGGAAATGAGTGTGCAGACACACATTTGTTGAACATATGTTACAACAATAGACACCTACATGTGTCCATACATTATATCTGTCTGTACATCTTTACCTCACTGATGTTCTCACACACATACATACAGCCATGCAACAGAAACAATGGCAGAATGATGGCCTGGTAAACTGGGTCAGCAAAGCTATTTTTAAGGCTCAGCATTGTTTGGAGTATGTCGTGTGCCCTCACTTCCTTACAAGAGTGGACGTTTTTTTCTTAATGATTAATAGGTTAAAGAGAGAGTCTTCTAGCTTTTCCTCTGGAGACTTTAGTGCACATTTTGAACAGTGTAGTTCCTTAACTTGCATGGAAAAAACAGGTATTTGTTTGGTTTTCCAGCGAATTCCAGTGAGGATCATGTTTGATAACCACTCCTTTAAGCTTTTGCTTTAAAGGCTATGCGTGTGCATGTACAACACAACACAACGTAGATATCAAATGCATGTGCATGTGCATTTTGGTGTGTCTGTGAGCTATTTGCTAAGAGACCTTTCACACAAAAACGAGTTTGTCCATCTCTGTGAACATAAACACAGCAGCACTGTGAGTGCACACAGTGAAGGCATTCTGCAATATTCACGGATTGGCAGTGAGAAGTAGCTACATAGAACAGATGAAACCCTTTTTACCACAAAGTGAGTCTGTTTTTCCTTGGATGAATATGGTCAAAATACCCTCAATTTGCCTATAGAGCTGGGACTAATTTTCCCTTTATAAAGCAGGGGGCAAATACGTGGTTTTGTGGTAAAACCAAAAGGAGCCACTGTATTTGATGCGGCTTCCTAAAATCACCCATCTGCACTTCATAGTGTATTGTATCACTGCCATGCCTGAGGCAAGGTTCAATGATACACCTCTTTTCTTTGAGTTGACAGCCTTGACAATGCTAGGCATGCAGGAGTTATGTTCTATACACAGCTCCTGCAGTTTTTTTCTACCTCTCTGATGCACTCTTTCCTTTTCATTCACTTTGTCAGATGAGGGGGGGGGGGACTTCAGAAATCCTCCCTCAGTGATAAATGTCTTTTCATGAGATGAAAAGGAATAGGAAAGAGCTTTGGAGTCTGCAGCCAAGAGGATCAAGGTGCAAAGATCCAAAGAGGCTGTACACCTTCAAACTCACGATTAAAGGGCAGTTTCACAAGACTGTGAACGCCTTATTTGAGATGTGATGAATATGTGCAAATCTAAGCACTTAACACAAAATAGCCACTTTGCATCAATCGCAGTTTTTAGGTAAAACATCAGTCATCAGTTGTAACATTTTTCAGTGATACTGAATAAAGTATGTCTCTGCCTTACAGCAGTGCTCCATCAAACTCGTCCCCTCATCCATTGACATTCCTCTCCTTCAGTTTAGTCTGTGAATGAGGCATTCTGCATATCCATGGCGACCACACTGCAGACTCTCTGGAGTTTGCATAGAAATGAGAAGTAAGAATGAAAGAGACGAGGGCAAGGACACAAACACACTTTTCTCTCTCTGCAGTGTGCCAGAAAGCGCAAACATTCCCACGTGATGATGGAGTTTGCTCCCTCCCTCGCTCACTGGGCGGACAATAGCGCGCTGGCGCACCTCCACGCGCAAACACTCTCAGAGAGGAGGTAAACTCAGTGAAGACGCAGGCAGGTCCACTTTTTAGGCAACTTTTTAGGCAACTTTTTCCCCTTAAAGACGCGTTCAGGGACCAACACTCTAAGGAATATAGTCTCTTTCAGTTGCCTTCTTGCACACAATGGAGGAGTGGACTATTTTTTTTTCAAATGGGAATTACATGCGCGCGTGAAACTTTGGCTCTCTTTTCTCCTCAGTGATTGTCAGACCCGTTTCGCTTCGAAACATGCCGGAGCGAATAAGCATTTCGGACTTCGTGGTCCTGACGAACGAGGATTTGTCTTCGCCGGGGACGTCAAGTTTTCAGTCCAAAATGAGCGACTGTCGGAGCACAGTTTCAACCGTGGAGGAGGTGAGAGGGGCAGAGGGGCACAGGGGTAGCGACGCAGAGAAACGCGCACCTATAGCTGTTGTTTACCTGTCCGCATAGCAGCTATGTAGCTCCAGGCTTTACCTGCAGGCGAGCTTTCTTTTCCTTAGGGGACAGCTGTAGTTGAGTTTTTAAAGTAGACTTAACATTAAAACAGTTTCTTCAGAGTTGGTTAATATTGTTTCCAGGTTGGCACAGCTGTCTGAGAGAGACGTGGAGACTTTGCCCCTGATTTTTTCCTTAACAGTAATTTCATTTCAAAAGCTGTAATAGCTACCTAATGCTCACGGCATCAGGATGCATTTACAGAGGGGAGGCACCCTGCAAGGTGTTTCTGTTAGCACAGATGTTGGAGAAATATATTTGCATGTATGTATGTTTGTGGTGTGCTGATGTTGGGGTGACTCTCTTAACTCCTGTCAGGACAAGTTTTTGTGCACTCACTTTTATGCGCTATTCACTAAATACAATTTGAGACCCAAAACTGGCATAGGTCCAATTTAACACTGCCTGTCAGATTGTTCAGTGTGGTGGGTGCTGCACTTGTACTTTTTTTCAGAAAAGGTTACACGAGGTAATGTAGCCTACAGAGAGTTTACTTAGCCTCGTCTTCCATCTCACGGGGGTCAGACTGAGATGGGACACCAACAGAACACACATGGCCGAGCAGACAGTGTGGCCCTTTAACAGAATGATGTATTGTTTTCTTGTAAATGTAAGTGAGCACACTCATGTTTGTTCATGCTTGCGAGCGTGTCTGTGAAGGCCAGTTTGTGCATTCTGTCTGTTTGCACTGGTACTTTGGCTCAAGGCCCTGTTTAAGGTCTCTGTGTGTGTGCCTTTGTGTTTGTTTGAAATCTGCTCTCCCAAAGCTCCTCGGGCAAAGGAGGAAACGGAGGGAGACAGCCACAAACTTTGCCATAAAACAAATAACCCAAGTGCGCATACAAGTCAGTCCTCCCTCGTCTGTCTTCCTTGTGACATAACAGTATGCTTCACTGTTCTCCTGTAACCCAAGATGGAGCTCTGTTTTCAGTTAAAGCTTTTACGCATTGAAAACGGAGGATTGTTTTGCTAAAATGAAATATACACCATATGGGGAATTTATATAGTTTCATATGCAATGGTTGTTTGACAGCAGTAACTCCATATAGTCCCGATATCCTAATATTTCATTGTAATTATGTAAGGAGTCTGAAGTCTGTGAGTGAAGGTCTTCATTAAGACTCTCCTGGCTAGAATCGGACTGCTGAGCAGAGATGGAGACAGCAGAGTCCAGGATTTATAAAGAGAACACATTTAGACAGCTGGCTGATGTATTTATCTAGGACTAATGTCCTTTTTTATGCCCATGACATACTGGAAAAATACATAGCTGGAATAGCTTCTCTGGGGAGGGACATGCTGGAATCCTACACATGTGCACACAGACAGACAGACAGACAGACAGACAGTCAGATGTAAATGCAGCAGTCCCTTTATAGATAGATCTATGGTTATTATGTTTAGTCTGCTCAGCTGGGACAAGCTTGATTAATGGCCAGGGCAATGTGTGGGCATGTGTGTGGTTTACAGTGGCAAGCAGAGAAACAGAGACACCATTTATGGCCACACACTCGGCTGCTTGTTACTTATTACTCCTGATTAGAGGCCACGATGAAGACAGACAGATAAGGAATGGTTTAGTTTCCTTTTGCTATAAGCTGAAATGCTCTCAATGTCATTGCCATAAAAGTGTTTTGAAGAACAGCTCTTAAGTTTCCCGCTCTGGTTAACATGATGAAATGGAACACTGTAGGTTTTCCTGCAGCAAAGTGTGACGTTGTGCCTGGTTGTTGTGCTAAATAAGGATCAGATGTCTGTTAGTCATGAAATATTAAGCTCTGCTGCCAGCAGTAGCACACACACCCTTGACTGCAGGTGAACACAAACTCACACACAGACGCAAAAAGGCACCGTAAAAGAAAAAGCAAGGTTTCTCAACATTGGCACACTCATGGATGCAGCTCATTACTTTCTTCAGAAGAGATGTGTTGAGTTGTTCCTTGTCCATCTCAACTAATGGGCGGCTCGTCTGTCTGTTGTCGGTTTGTGCGGCCGTGTTTCCTGATCTATTTCGCAAACACAACCTGTTTTAATGACCTGCGCCAGCTTGTTTCTACTGTTTATCCCTTACGCCAACCAACTTACCAAGCAGAGGAAACTACAGCACCAGCATCATCAGTGAGCAACTCCCATCTCCAGTCTCCACTAAATCACTTTCCCATTCATTGTCTGCAGAGTCACAGTACACAACACCCACACCAACACCGCCTTTTAATTAGTGAACCAACACTTAGGGAGCGGACTCGACCGGGAAAGACTGGGGCGTGTAAACAACGCCATCTAACAAGGCACAGTCTCTGTTCAGTCTAGATTACTGGCTCTTTAAAACTATGTCTGGTGGCACATAGGTGGAGTGGAGCATGTCTAGCTCGGCGAAACAAGCGGCCAGTGTAAGGGAAATAAACGGGATGTAGTTTCAAACCTTGTTGGTTTGGAAGAGAACGTCCAAATACAACGAAGCCTGTTTGCCCTGCGTCTAAATCATGCGTCACGTTTCAGGGAAAGCTCTTTCCAGCAGAAGAAAAAGTATTCTGTTCTCAATGTAAGGCAGTGTTGTTTCAACCTGAGAGGTGACAGACAGTCAGACAGGTGAAATAAATGCTGTGACATCATTCGGGGTTATACATGACAACACAAGATGTCTTGCCGGCGACTGCTGACTCACCTGTTGGTCTTAGTCACACACCGTGAGAAAATGAAGCATAACTGAACACATTCACTCATACCTACTGTAACCTGGTACAGTAAAGCAAGCTCAAGTCAAACATTGGTGTAACTGAGCACTAATTCTTATGTCTACGAAAGATTGTAACCCTTAATCTGCGCGTTATCTCCCTAATATCTCTGGGTGTACAACTTAGGCCATTTCCGACAAAGCTGCAAATCAATGAGCTGGACTTCTGCATGGAAATATTGGATTGATATGATAAAGTATGTTGCTTAAACTGAACTTGATTTCATCATTTCATAAAATGACATGTACTGTGACAAGACAAGAGTTGATTCATATCACCCGCCCTGAGGATGGGAGCATTGTTGAGTGCAAAGATCTTTATTTTGTTGATTAATTTCACATACTTTGTCTCTGTTTTATTGCAGTCTCTGGAGATGGACCTCACAACTCTACAGAGGATGAAGAAGATCATTAAAACTATACACACGTCTGGACTCTGTAAGTGTCAGTGTGTCACATAACATGATCTCATGCACACTGTACATTACTAGTTTAAGGAAACAGTCCCAACTCAAGGCTCACTTACTGGCTATTTCCAGAACTTTCTGCTGTTTTGCATAGTCTTAATTAGCTGATAGAATTTGCAGTAGGCGTTACGATTTCATCTATAGCACTTCAGTTAAGTTATGCATGAAAGTTCATTCTTGAGCTTAGAAATATCATCAATGCGTTGCCTTACCGCCACAAAAACACAATAAGTTGGGATTGTTGTAATTGGACTTTTAATATTACTAAAAGAGGTTTTAGTGTATTAATACATTACTACAGTACAACTTTTGACAATTTACAAAATCCACAAATAAGTCCGTCCTTACAAATGAAACATGTCGACTTGGTATCTAGTTTTTAAGTAAAGGTCAGCCTCCATTATGGCAGGATGAGCTGTTCAGTACACATGGGGAGCTTCAGCATAATTCATTGTACAAGCCTGGTTGAGATGACCTCATCAAGCTCATGTGGGCAGTGGTGTTTATGAGTGAGGCCCCTTGTTATGGGACCAGGGTGCGTGGGATGTTGGGTGATTGTGTTTATATCCATACAGAGTGTATAGATTGGTGTGGTGTGTGTGTGCGTCTGCGCTAAAGTAAATGGCATGTGCGGTTTTGGCAACAACGAGGTGCCATACAGTGATCTAACGGATCCACTGGGTCACTAAGTGAATGTTTTTGTGAGTGCGTATGTGTCATGTAGGCCTGCAATACGGCACCGTCAATCTGTCAGAAGTGAACGTGCGTAAGACGTGAGTGTTCACCTCAAAAATGTGCGGGAGAAACAGAGGAACTGCACAATGTATCCTGAAGTTGTTTTTCTGTGCTCGCTTACAAGCCTGCTTCCCATTGCGAGGCTTCAACTCATAGTTTTTAGTAAAAAATGAGTCAGAGAGCCAGCTGCCCAGAATTAAGCAACCAGATACGGTCAGCAGCAATGTCGTTGCTGCAGAGAAGTGCTCCATGATTACTCTCCATACGCACTCGCTCCGCTTCTTTATGTCTTTGTGTGTATCTAAATAGAATCATATGGGTTAGTTCCAGTAATGTGACAACAGGAGGTCCCCCACTTCACTGTCATTATGTTGTTGAACCCCGTAATCAGCCCTGATTTTAATCAACAGTCTGACTCACCCTGCATACAGACACATTTGTACGCCCACTCCTCCCCCACGCTGTCTGATGGTGCGTTACTGTGTCACACATGCAAAAACACACACACGGTGAGATGTTCTCTTCTTTCGTTTTCTATTCCCATAAACCACTAAGTCCCACTTTTCTGCCAAGATGCTGCAGCCTGCGAGTCTGTGTGTGTTCTGGCAGTGGAGTGAGAAGAGTTGAGTTGCTCTCCTCGTATCTGGTGGTTAAAGCTCCACTGTAAAATCATCCTCTGAGCTCCTCAGTGACTCCGCTGTTTGTTGTTTGATAGATGCATGTATGTTGTTTGTTGTAATAGTTTTTTTTTAATGACCACGCAGCCATAACGGTTCAGTTCTCCTGCTCCCCCTCTGATTTTGTCTCCTCTATCCTGCAGTGTGTCTGCATTTTTCCTTAAATTCACAATTTTTCTGTGATACAAAATCCAACTTGCTTTTTAGCCAGTTGTGTCTGTGTCAGTGTGTCTCCCAGATACACTCAGTTTACCATTTTATATTTGTCTGGAAGTGGAAACTGGAGCAGAAGAGGTTAACTTACTGTGCTCTTCGTGCTTATTCCTACTGTCTGTTTAGTCTTCTTTGGGCGCTTCTGCAGATGTCTGTTCCAAGTGGTCATTTATTACTTCCTTAAATTATTAATCCACAAGGGGTTTCGTAAAGGCAGCTAAGACGCTTCTCTATGACTGTGGTTAACAGACATTTGGTTTCCCATCTTTGTTGATTGAAAATGATGACTTTCATGGCTTGAATTGTAACTTGTGTTTATTTGATGCCTTCATCTAAGCCTCAATTTAAAATAGCTGTAGGGTAAAACTTGATTTAGTGTAATGTAAACCAAAGTGGTGCCAGTCGAACTCAGATTCTTTTCCATCAGCCTTTTTCCACATAAATTCAGAGCCCACTAAGGTCATGACCCTTGGGAAAGTGACCCATAAGCCCCAGAGAAACACGGGTTTCTATATGTTCGCTAGTCTCCTGTTCCAGGATGGGTGGAAACCAGTACTAATTTATCCCATATGCTTGTCTTGTTAAATTCCCACACTGCAACAGGGCAAGTCAATCTGCCTTCTTAAGATTTTCTGCACATGTAACTCAAGTCTGAGTCACATTTTAACTGTCTACGTCTATACTCACTTTGTGTGTTGTTTTTCAGCCCATGTGGACAACAAGGAGCAGTATATTGAGGTGCTGGAGAACCTGGGAAATAGCCACCTGACCCAGGACAACAACGAAGTCTCCACAGGCTTCCTCAACCTGGCTGTGTTCACCAGAGAGGTCACGGCCCTCTTCAAAAATCTGGTGAGGAAAGGAGAGAAGAGTGTGGAGGAAAATGGAAGGGAAAGGAGAGGTTTCTTCAAATTAGCTGTCTTTAGAGAGTTCAAGAGAGTTCAAACTACATACCAAATCTAGAGGACTGAGAGAGGAGCGGTGGAAATAAAGACAAAACTAAAAAGGGGAAAGACAAGCCAAATGACCAGAAATCTGAAAGTTCCAAGAAGGAAAAAAGTGAATCAGCAAAATTTAGTTTGTTTATTTATTGGAAACAACAACAGGTGAAAGAACCCCAAATCTCTCCCCATAAAATGTTGGATGTATGTGGGAGTAATAAGTGTGTGTGCAACATGCATGCTTTTCCATGGAGGAAAGGGGTTTTCAACAGCTGCACTCTTGACTCTAAAATCTGGGGCAGTCCGGAACCCTCCCACTGATAGTTTCTGTGGCGATGATAATTCATCCCAGACCTCCATGTGTGAGTCGGCACACACCGTCGCACACACACTCCCTACCATGTGTCAATCAAGGCATCACAGGGGAGACTGGGCCGTACAGATGTAAAGCAGAATTGGTCCAAGAGACTAACAGGAGGGTGATTTAAGGAGTTCTACTGAAAAATCAACCTGAGTGCGTCCCTTAATGCCGTGTGTGTGATTGCGTGCTTGTCCCATTGTCTCAGTGTGCATGCACTGATCCGTGTCGTCTGTACATGTGGCACTTTGGGAGTAGGTATTTCCCTGTGTCAGAACTCCGTGTATTATCTATTACTTACCTCAGCTTTTGGATGCCAACCAAAACAAGCTCACCAGACTCCAGGCCTCTGTGTCAATATGTACAGGCCAGCTCTGCAGTCAGCTCACGGAAGTAGTTGGACATTATTTATGTTAAGAGCGGGATGTAGCTTGGTTGTAATCCAACAGGATCCATGGAAAAGGCTGCAGGAACATTTACAAACATACTCTGTAAATTGTGACACTGGTCAACTGGAGATTTGTGGACAGGAGATGAAGAATAATGTATGAAGCCATGCTGCATGCATAAGTACAGATGTGATGTATTTCCATGGGGGAATTTGTGTTAATACTGTAAAGCGCAACCTGTGGGGGTTATGCTGGTTATTTTGTGATTTATCAGATCCCTGACGGAGTTCAGCTCGTTTTCATCCAAACATCAAATTAATCTCAACTTCCCACTTTACTGTACACAAACAGTGATAAAAAATCTTGTTATCGCATGCTCCCCCTTGGATGAAAAAACCAACTTAATTTAGCAGATTAGTGCCCAGTGTTTTCTTTTGATGAATCACCAGTTCAAAATGACTGAATCACCATATTTTTGGGTTATCCACACTCATTCCCAGAAATGTAATGCCATAGGGAAATATGAGTGCGAGAACGGTGTGTGTGCAATAGATAAGAGCCACCTGTGACATGTGAAAGATTTTACTAATTTGTTCTGTTCCTACGTGTTTCAGGTGCAAAACCTCAACAACATCATGGCATTTCCTCTGGAAAATGTCCTGAAGTCAGAACTCCGGGACAGCAGACTAGTGAGTCTAGATTTTATTGGAAATGTATGAAGTACTAATTAAACTGCTGGCTAAACTGGTTATATACATATGATGATGACATTTTCAATGTCTTGTTTTAGGATAGAGGTACTATATACGTATATATGTATATCCTGAAGCTGATTAATAAATGGTGTAATACAAAAAAAATATAAACATAATATAAATACAGCTTTTGATATTTATAGTGTGATAATATTTAGAGATGTACATTATGAGAAACAGTTCAAAGTAATGTGGATATGAAAGCAGTCATTGTTCCTTTCAATCAGCTATAGCCCAATCATTTAAGCAAATCGTGATGTAGGCTGTAGGAAGAGTGGAGATAACATTGAATGGAGATCCCAGAATAATGATAAAATAACCATATCTGATGTTTTATTATAATATATTATATCAAGGTATAGGAATAAAAAAAACAAAAAACTTTTAGCACAGCATCCATGCTCTATTTACTGTAATGTGGGGCTTTTAAAAGCCATTTGTAAATGTTTACTGTCCAAAATACCTGAAACATATCAACATAAAATCAGTTTTAGGGTGGATTTCCTCTTTAAGCACATAATGCTGTCTGTCTGTGTCGCAGACGCAGCTGAGCCTACTAAGATATTGGATAAGATGAGGCTGTTTATGCAGATTAATGCGTAAGACTGAGCTATGTTCCACAACTGAACTGATCTGTCTTGCACAGTATTTGGCCTTTTGATTTGCCATGCCAACAGACTAGTGAGTAAGAACGGGCTAATGCTTCTGTAAGCTCCTGTCACTGCCCTATCTTTGAAACAGCTGAACATTGACAGATGAACATTACTTCATTATAACTGTGAAGGAAGACAAAGTGCTATTGAAGTCCTGTTCAGCCAGATTGCAGACTAGTTAACATAATGTGAGTAATCATGTCTCTGTGAATAACTGTCACTGTCATAACTGCAAATAATTACCAATACATAAGGAAGTACTGTGGAGTACTGCTTCACCTGACTGTATGTGGACTATTAACAATGCCATGGAAACACTACTGTCTGACAGTAACATCCATTCTCTTCTCTACAGGAGCTCAAGAAACAGATGGAGAAGAGTTGGAGGGAGTATGACATAAAAATGTAATTAACCATACTCTAAACTTAGAAACCGAATTATAAGACATATGTTATTGTCTAAGGAGAATCACTTCACACATTTACAGTTCTTGCTAGTCTTTTAGTGGGTCACAGAAGTTGGTGTAACAGCAGAGGTTAATGGGATAATAGTTAATTCCCCATGGCCTTTCTCTATTACATTGCTGTGAAATAAAACTGAGGCATTGCACTTTGCAGCTATCATTTGATCTCATTCGGGTGTTGGTTCAAAGTGTTTTATAATGTTGTAAGGAGAGCTCTCCTCTCCCTTATTGTCTTTCATCTGATTTCCTCTTCCTTCTCTCTCTTTATAGCTGTGTTTTAACCAAAAGTACATGAAAAGTTTTGTCCCAGGAACGATATTCCATGGAACTTAAGGATTCCTTTAGCCTGTTCTAGTCCGTATCAAGACCTGGGAATTAGTTTGCTGACGTATGAAAAAGTGAAAAGGGCTGTTTTTACACATAATATTTGCACCTAACTACAAAAACAACAATGGTGACAGTTAATGTGTCTTATCCTTTCTTCTGTAACTCCTTGTTGATGTGTGTGTGCACTGAAGCCGAAGGTATCATACCGTTAAACCGAAAAGTTAATCGTGGTAAGCCCCGCCCCCAACGTTCCTGTACTAGTGGAGAGTTCTGCCTTACGAGTGGGGGATTTTGGGGTGTAAAATAATGTCCTTGGGACTTAAATTTAGACCATAGTCCCTGTGGTGTAAATGCACAAGTTCCTTAAAGGTTCCTAGTGCCTGGGGAAAGCTCCTGCGGTGGAAATGCGATTTATGAGGAAGGTGAATGAGTTAGTGGAAAATCCCAGAGAGAAAGAGAGTGGATCAGACAGATTATAGAATTGTGAAGTACATTAATGAATAGTAATAGTAAAGTTTTTTCTCTCTTACTATCTGTCTTTCTTCGCTCATTTTCTCTTCCCTTCCCCCATCAGAGGGAAGCTTGAGAAGGAAAGGAAGGAGAAGACCAGGCAGCTGGGACTGATCAGGACAGAGGGATCAGACGGAGGGGAGGACATGGAGAGAGAAAGAAGGACCTTTCAGCTGCAAATGTGTGAGGTGAGGGATTAGTGCCAGTCAAAATACCAGAACCAGACACCTTTCACATACCTGAGGTAGGTTTGATTTAGTTCACATGGGTGGTCTGCCTTGTGGATTCCATATTCCATCCATGGTCAACTGGATGGCCAGCGTGTATCCCTTGTGTGTCTTTCCAGTAATTCCTATGATGGAAAAAATATGTTTTAGAAAGTCAAACATGAGCTTAATTGGTCGAGTTTTGCAGAGTTGCAGCAGAGCCGGGTCATATACATTAGAACGTGCAGTTCAAAGGCAGATGAAAATGCTTCATGACCCACACCTGAAAACCAAATTGGGGGAAATTCTTGTTAAATGCACTGGCAGTGCATACAGGTGGTGTCTCCACTAAGTATGTTAGTGCAGATGTAGAGACCCTGAGAAAAATGGTCTAACCCTGACTGAGACCAGCTGTTGAGACAAAGAGAGGCAAGGAAAATGGAATTTCCACTTGTTGCAAGCTACTCCACCCCTCCGACCCTCTGTCTTTCTCTCTGCAGCAGGAAACTGCATACATACAACAAACACTGAGAAACACACACACACACACACCCAAATATACACACACAACAGAAACACTTCACTGAGCCTGTCTCTGCTTCAGTTACAGAGAGACAGATGGATTCAGACTTGAGTTTTATGGAGCAAAGACAATATAGTCATTCCTTCCACACAGAGCAAAGAGAAAACACTTATAGCTTGCCCTCAAAGCTTTTTTCTACCTTTTTAAAATATGTATTTAGACTTGGGGCACGGTGGAAATTATTCACAATAAAGCCTATTTTTTTTTCAAGACTTTTTCCAGTTTCATAGTACAAGGTTCACTGACTGGCTAGAGTGTGGAAATAAGGCACATGACCTTTGAAACAATATGAAGCAGTGTCCTAGAGAGCAAGGAGCTGCACACTAAAAACATTGTCAAAACAGGATATTAAACGTGTCTAGGATAGGATGAGCCTAAAATTATGGGCACTGAGAAATGGTGGCTTGAATTGATTTTCATTTTCATATTCAGGCTCCATGTTTTTGTTGATCCATCTAGCATTTCTATGGAGAGCTGTCAGTTCTGGGGGTGTTTTTAACTGTCTCTGTGTTTATGCTTGCAGTATCTTTTAAAGATCCAAGAGCTCAAGGTGCGTCAGGGCCCTGATCTTCTCCAGAGCCTCATCAAGTATTTCCAAGCCCAGCTCAGGTCAGTCTCAGCCGGTCCTATGTTTTGCCATTTTGTTTTATGTATGAAATAATAACAAGAAGAAAGGTTTTGACTTCTTTCTGGCCTAAAAAGCATGTGGATTTGATTTCTATCTAAGGGTTTCAGTGAAGGATTTTGCATAATCGTTGAGGTTCTTTGGTTTTCACTTTCCTTTTACAAGCTATTATTACTGTTGTTAACCATTTACCAATTTTAATCATACCGAGGGATTCATGTGGGAACAGAGTTGCTTATACAGCTTCAGCATGTGATGTTTTGGTTGGTGTGAACTAGGACGTTAGGACTCAAGTACCATCATGACTCAGCATTTGTTCTTTTTCTGATCTCAGTTTCTTTCAGGATGGGCTGAAAGCGGCAGAGAATCTCGCTCCCTTTATCGAGAAGCTTGCTGCTTCTGTTCACACGGTAAACACACTGTGGCTGCAGCTGGTGTGTCTGTCTATCTGCTTTATATCAGTTAGTGCTTATAGGGGTAAATGTTAGTCATCTTATTTCTGCAGTATTGTTTCCAGCTTTGTTATGATTCCAGGAGAGTGTAGGGTCTGTTCTTGCTGCTGTTGTTCTGGCTGATTCAAACTGATGTTATTACAAACCCCCCCCCACACACACAC